CTCGCTAGCCTCGTCGTCGGGCTCCGACAAGGAAGACAATGGGAAGCCCCCGTCCTCCGCCCCGTCCCGGCCCAGACCCCCGCGGAGGAAGCGGAGAGAGTCCACCTCGGCTGAAGAGGACATCATTGATGGATTTGCCATGACCAGCTTTGTCACTTTTGAAGCGCTGGAGGTAAGGGGGACCCCCTCCCCCTGGTTTTCCTTTATGCACGACCCCACTCGGCTGCGCCCGGCTCTGCTGCTTCCCCCACTGTGCTCTGGCCGGTCTGTCTGTCTGTCTGTCTGTCTAGGCTGAGGTCTTATTGTTGGGGGGAGAGCTGGGGGCGCGGGCAGACAGGCAGCAGGAGGGAATCGCAAAGCCATGCCTGGTCTCCTGGTTTCCTCGTTTTCGCTCGCCTTTCCCCTGCGCCTCCTCCCTGCGCCCCCTCCACAGCAGATGGGGATAGAGAAAGGGGTTCAGGCATCACAACAATGCGCCCCCCTCCATGGATAGCTCTGCCCCTACTCCTTCCTCCTCTCTCTCCCCAATCATGGCTTCTTGGCTGGTGGAAGTCTCTTTGCTGGGTTTGGGGCGCCTGTGGACGGTTCTCTGTGCTTTCTATAGAGCCATATGTCCGTGTGTGTGTCTGTATAGTGTGTACCTTTTCTGGGTGTCCTCGGGACTGGAGACTAATGGGGTTTTGTGGTTTCTCTGTCCCCCCTCCCTGCCTTTTTTTTTTTTTCCTCTCTCTGGTGAAGCTGGGGAAGGGGGCGTTTTCTCCTGGTTGGGAGAAAGGAGGGAGGAGGGGAGAGCAGAGAGGAAAGGATGGAATATCTTTCTGTATTCCGTATGGGGCTCTATTACAGAAAGGGTTAATTATAATATCTGTGCACATATATATGCACATGTGTGTGTACATGAGCAATTTGGTTAAAGGACAGAAAAAGGTACACTAGGGAGGACTGGTAGGAGGAAAGAATAAAATCCTATCCGGTGTCTGAAGAGCTTGTCACCCAATTGTCCCTCTCCCTTTCTTTTTTTTTTTTTGTGTGTGTGTGTTTTCTCTTTTTTTTTCTTTCTGATTGGCTTTGTGTGTNTTGTGTGTGTGTTTTCTTTTCTCTTTTTTTTTCTTTCTGATTGGCTTTGTGTGTATATATAAGTCTTTATTCCTTGGGCACCTGCAGTGTTGATTTCCCAGCGCACATTTTGCTGCCCTCTAACCAGCTTCTGGGGAAGGGGGGAGGAGTTAGAGGTAGACTGTCCAGGGGTCAGAGGGAAACTTGTCTTTACCTGGAAGGATCATATTTGCTGCTGGCACGGGTCAATGGGCTCTATAAATGTAACCCCTTTTTTCCTCCCCCTACCTTTCTTTCCCCACCCCCAACACACCACACACACACACACACACACACACACACTGGAGGCTTTGAGATTGTGCAGAGTTGGCCGGGCTTTTCTTAAGCACAAAACCAAAATAGTTGGTTTGTAGCCATTCATGCACCTGATATGATGGTTGGAGGTTCTTGAAGGAAACTTTTCCCTTTCCCTTTGATTTTTTGCTGTTATTATGGTATTGTTTGAGATGATCAAATGNCACACACACACACACTGGAGGCTTTGAGATTGTGCAGAGTTGGTCGGGCTTTTCTTAAGCACAAAACCAAAATAGTTGGTTTGTAGCCATTCATGCACCTGATATGATGGTTGGAGGTTCTTGAAGGAAACTTTTCCCTTTCCCTTTGATTTTTTGCTGTTATTATGGTATTGTTTGAGATGATCAAATGAAAGCTTTGTTAATGGCAGTTTAAATCTCACATGCAGTAACTGTACAGGTTTACATTGCTAGTTCTCTCTGTGTGTTTGGGTGTCAGGTTTAAATATGTTTTTAAAAGGAAGCCTTCCTGTCAGGGTTGTTCTTTTCAATTTGAACTGCTTTTTGGTTGGGCTGCTGGTGGTGATGGTGGTGGTGGATGGTGGCCAGTGGTTGGGGAGGGAGGGAGAGTGGTTGGTAGTATTGGTGACCATAGATTTTGATGTTAGTGATTGAATCAGTTACCCTTTGGTTCTAGAACTGGTACTTTATTGGCTAAAATGGATCTTACACAATCGTTTTGAGTGTTGAGGCTCACCACTTATTAGGGTAATGCTAACTGTGGCTTCAACTTTGCCAAGGTGGGAGGGTACTGTACAGTGTGACCTCTTTCTCTCTGTCTCTCTGTTGATTTAAAATAGGAACTGACATAGCATCATGTATGCTAATAGAAAATGCTGCCTAGAACTTGGTTCATGATTGCTATCTGTGGTTAGTTTAGGGCAGTACTTGTAAAATCTGGTTACAAGTGGTTCTGCCTTTTGGATGGTTATCCTGGGCTGCCCTGTGGCCCCTCTCAGTAAGCAACAGGGGCCTGCAGATTCCCATGAACGTTTTTGAAGGCCAAGTGGAGATAGACATAACTTACGTAGTTCTTTTTGATCATTTTTACTTTTAATAAACAAATATTTGCCTGGGCTTATAATGTGTATATTTATCTGTTTGGGATTTGAGAGAAAATGCACTCTTCTAGTTTCTTTGGGACTTAAAAACTTTTAATTTTTAAAGAAGACCAAGTTCAAAGTGTACCATTAACACCATTCCTTTTCTTGCTGTGATTATTTTTTTCCCTGCTGTTTTTCTAGATTCAAAGCCTAGGTTATTTTGGTTAGGTGAATACTATGCTACATTCATGTCTATATATCACTTACATATCTATGTCTAATAGGTCTAACTTTTTAAAAAGTTTTCTTAAAACTTTATAGAAAATTTAAACATATACAAAAGTAGACAGAACAGTTTGATAAACCTCAATGTACACAACACCCAGGTCAGCATCCACTAGCTCATGTCTCATCTTGTTTCATCTGTATCCCATCTATTCACTCTCCACTCCCTGATGTGATATGAGAAATACATAAATATTTCTGTATGTATTTCTAAATGGTAATGATTTAAAGAAAACCTCCAACCCCCCATAGTACCATTATAACACCTAAATAAACAACAGTTCCCTAATATCATCAAATATCCTGTCAGTGTTCACAATGAAAAGACCTGGCTTTTGTAGGAAGGCTTTAAATAAACTTTTCAGATTAAAAACAGTGGAGAATGAAAATCATGTATGTCTGATTCTAGATAGATCTGTTTGCTGCACATTTGTGTCCATGCTGGATGGTCAAACATTTGTGTGTAGTGATCATGAAGATAAAACCTATGTATGCACTCATTTTGGAAGATTTATTCAACTATCACCATGAGATGTGAGGGCTGCTTAGGAAACAGGCAACTAACTATGAACTTAAACAGAAATGTATGGGATAGGAGTGCTTATAAAAGTTAAGAATCATTATAGATGCTAAGAGTACCCTAAATGTATACTATTTTTTATATCTTATGTTTAGAAATGAAAACAATTGTCACCATGTAACATTGAGGCTGCTGCTAGTACGATGTTGTGATAAGAAACCAGAAATGTTGGCTCGTACAGCTAGGCTTGTACCTTATGCCAGTTCAGAGCAATAGCTGGCAAACTGGAATAGCATACTTTGGATGTTAATGGATGGACTCATTGATTTTTGACTCCCCCTTTAAAAAAGAGGCTCCTAACTCAAACTGAAATGTGCTGATATAAGTTGTTCCAGTCCAACTATGGTTTTACTAATGCTGGGGCAAAAGTAAGAAACTTGCTTAATGAGAACCAGCATTTTTATGTTGATTATTTTTTCATGTTGGGTATTTAAGATCATGAAAGCTTTGGGAGTAGTTTGAGAAGCCCATACTTTATAGGCAGTGAAACTGGCTGAGGTAGTTTCATCTTCTGCAGGGACACTTGTCTTGAGTAATTGTGCCCTGAAGTTCAAGTATGTGATTGTGAAGAGTCTCGTGATAGAAGATAAGAGGGTAGGTGAAGAGGCTAAAGTTGAACATGGTGTTCTTTTCATTAGGCATTTGAGAAACAGAATTACCATTTGGATATGGTATTGTTTATTTGGATATTCTTTGAATAATAGGTTGAGAGTGAATATCCCCAGATGTCATGCCTCATTTAAAAAAAAGTGGCTTTAGCAAACAAAGCATAAAATGGAAATGTTGAGGTTCTAATACTGTCAGTATACCTTGATATGCCAGATAATATTGCTTTTCTGTTCTTATTTGGGGTTTTTTTTCTTTGTAGTCTCAATTAGTAAGCCACATGAGTACTGCAGCTGAAAATTCGACTTTGCAAATCCATTATTTTTCCTCTCACCCCTCTGTTGTTTACTGGATTCGTAGTGGAGCCTCCTTTTGTACAACTGACCAAGGGAAGCAAATACGAAATTGGTGGGATTAACAGTCAGGAGGCCATTTGGAGCTTTGGAGGCTGTGAAAATTAAGAAAGACTCATTTCTGGTAGGTACAGGATCAAACCAAGACTTAAATGTGGTCTTCATTTCCTAGCTCTGTTTCAGGGCTTACCCTGAAAGTTTGCACATCAATAGTATAAATAGGCTGTACAGAATTTGTTGTATTTATAGTATATGGGCAAATCTAATTTATTCATTTTTTTAAAAAACCCCAGCATTAATCATGTTCCTTGTATCAGTCAGCAGATATTTACGGGGTGCTTGAAATGTGCAAGGCGCTAGAAAGAGTATGAAGAAACCTAAAATATATGTAGCATCTCGAAAGAGTGTGCAGCTTAGTTGTTAAATTAAGTCCTGCACCTACAAAATAATTTTGAAATAGGCACTCAAATGCCTAATACCAACTAGGTGCAGTAGGCTTTCAGAGAATGGGGTAGTGAGTGCCATTGGCTGAAGTATTTGAGAAGGCTTTGTGGAGAAGATGAGGCTAAAGGGTTGAAGTGATTTGGATAGATAGGGAAGGAATGTGGGCTGGAAAGAACATTCTAAGAAGAGGGTATAGTGAAGAGGGCACAGGAAAAAGAGGAGTGAGAAGAAGTTATTTGATTAGGGCTTGGTGGCAAGGAAGGGCTGGTAAGAAATGAGTACAAAATTATGGAAGTAAAGAGTTCTTGTTAGGGAGTCAGGAGACCAGTGGAGAAACACTGTCAAGGCGTGGCTGTCCTAACTAGTTGAGTGACTTTGGGAAGTTACTCTCTAAAGCATCATTTTCTAAATCCATAAATTGAGAGGTTTAGACTAGTTTTAGAGCAAAG